TTATTGTATCTTTTTGAATGCAACAGCTTAACTGGAATGCTATGTTGAGCCTTTCAAACAACTGAACCTGCCGTCCTGTATTAAGTAACTTTTTTTTTTTTTTGCATCCGTAATAGAGATGCATCGTTGATGGCTATGAGAAGGCGTATTGAAGGCCTGACACCAGAAGAAATAAGAAATCTTTCCCGAGATGAAATGCACATGCCAACAACTATGGAAGACTTTGAAATAGCTTTGAAGAAAGTTTCTAAATCTGTATCTGCTGCGGACATTGAGAAATATGAGAAATGGATAGTTGAATTTGGATCATGCTGAGTTGTCTTATCTTGAAGAAGCCACCTTAAGTCTTAAAACAGCTTTAGAAGTAATAAGTAGTGTGTCAGTGCACTGCGTGCTCTTTTTAACTTTTGTAATTTAAGAGCAACAGAGGTCTAAATAAATTTTTTTTTTAAAATGCAAATTCTGTCTAGCGCTCTGAACTAGCTCAAATGTTACCCATCTTTCTCAAATGCGAAAGATACTGATGGGATCTGCTTTGATCATCAAGGTTTTAGAATTACTTAAATTTAATACTAAACTCTTGCATCAGGGGGTTTACTCTTGAAAAATAGCTATTGCACCAAAAACCCAAACTAGTCGTGCTAAATGAGTAAGGAATGCTGAGAACTAGAAAATGGGATGAACGAGACCCAGTTGTATAGATGGTTTTGCTAGCTGGTAGTGGAGAATTCTGCCCTTAAACTCTAAGGTGTTAATAAAGAACCTGTACAAAGGCTGACATTTAGAACAGCAACCTTTGTGTTCCTAACAGTCAGTAGATTCAACTGAAGTTTAAGCAAGGGCTAAGAGCATCACTGGCTTACAGTATCTATTAAGTAATATTAAAATACATCCAGCCAGTGTAAACTAATTTTCTGCAGCCAGCGGTAATGCAGAGTCATATGTGTAATCTCCTTGTAAGCCTGAGAGAAAACAAAAGCCTTCTGGCATTAGTTCTGAAAGAGGTTTTTCTTCCTTGACTGTATGGTACTGTGAGCTTCAAAACTCTGGACTGGTGGTAGGTTGGGTCCTGATGTGCACCACACATTTGTCCTGGTAAGGCTGTTCTGTGAAGGCAGTGTGCGTGTTATGTTTGTGCTCAGTTGATTTCTGTTCGTAACCCTGACCTTACAATTGATGTAAAATGTAAATTATCTTTTCGTGTTACTTAACAAGTTGAATGTAGAAACAATTCTCTGAGAATGGTTCTGCAGCGACCATTTAGGTTATCATTTTAGATTTTGCTCAACAGTGGTCATTGTAACTAAAACATCTCTCGTTTCTGTCCATCTCCCCTAGTATTTTGGAAACACTTCTTCCTGCTAGCTCTCATCGGAGCAGCTGGCTGTAGTTCTGCTTAGAGCTAAACTTCCTGCTTTTTCATTAATCAAATAGGTCTAGACTTGTTTCAGCTGGTAGATACATGCTGTACGAAACTGGCTGTGGAATTCCTGCTCACGTGTCTCTTCAGATGCTGCGAGGCAGCTTGGAAGGACAAATGATAACGAAGAGTTGCACTCGGACCAGAAGGCAAATGCATCCCAAGTACATGTTGTGTAAATGCTGTTATTGTGAACATCTTGTTTATGTACTTAAAATTCACCACTGGGTCATGAGTGACAGCTAGACACGCTGCAAAGGGACTTTCAGCAGTGCTGGTGATGAGACACTCTAGTCATAGACCCTGAGAGGCAGATACTGTTGAGAGCTCCTGAATCCCTGGGTGGACCTGGCGTGATGAAGCCAGAAATGAAGGGAAGAAGTTCAGGTGAGTATACAAGTGTGTGCATCTATAGACTTCCATCTCCAAAATGGAAAATAAATTTACATCTTTCTTTTCAAAAGGGTAGCCATATGTGTCGCAGTTAAGAAAAAGATGCAGTATTTTGAAGAAGTGGGTTCTCTTAATACTTATTTTTCTGTTTGTATGTTAGGATGAGTGCAGAGCTGTCAGCTGTGTTGCAGGGAGAGATTTCTTTTTGTAAATCAATTCATTGCAAGCAAACCAAAATACTCAATCTGTCACCTGAGTAAGACGGGAAAGTAGGCGAGCGCTAGTCTTTGGGAACAGTCCAGTAAGGGGCCACTTAGACTGTAGGCGTGATATATTTTGAGAACTTCTAAAGTAAACCTCATTTTAAAGGCAGTAGTTTAGTTCTACAGCTCAACCAGCCCTGTTCACTCTAAATGAACTAAATGAACACCTGTGTAATACATGGTAGGGGGGAAATAAAGTGGTAGATGCTGAATTTGTAGCTCAGAGGATCGTCTTGTTTTGGAATGAGGAATGTGATGATACCAACTTCCCCCGCCAGTGGAATTCCTGTATGGAGGGAAGGGCCAGCGCTGCTTATCTCCTTGTTTAAAAGGGAGAGACATCTTTAAAAAAGTGAGACATCTGAGGGTGAGCCAGAACAAGAAGGGCTGCAGGGAGAGCCATGGTTCATGAGGAGATACGAGATGTTGCCTTTCCTAAAAATCTACTGCTATCCTATAGAGGCGGGGGGTTGGGATCATTTGTGTTTTGGGGGGTTTGAGGGTTTTTTGTTCCTCCTGCCCCTTTCTTTCCCTTAGCTGCCACCTATGTCCTTCTCAGCTCATGTCCTGGGAAAGAGAGACCTACTGTGACTGGCAGGCAGGACAGTTACCTTTTCCAAACTGTGTTAATTGTGGTAAGGAGTTTTTAAACTGGTTTACAAGATGCTTCAGAGTGGTCTCAGCCCAAAGCAACACTCCTCTGAAAGGCAGGAGACTTCTATGACTCAGGAAAACCATGTGCAAGCTGAAGCAGAACGCTATTACTGCTTTCACTTTTTAAGACTTGATAGCTCCATAGCACAGCAATGTTGTCTGGCAATTACTGTGTTCAAGATTTGCATTGTTTTTTAAATTGAATTTTGTTAACTTGAAGGTAGTATTTATTTCCTTGTGCTTTGTAGAACACAATACAGAAGAGGATTACTTAGCTCATGGAAACGGGCCAAGTTGTGAAGCAGTATCCCAACAGTTTTTCAGGCTTAACCACTCACTTCTGGTGCAGCTGTTCAGAGTGAAATCTCCTCGTTGCTGTGCAGGTGCTTGGTTTACAGTTTCACAAGTAGGGATGCAAAGAGCACATGCCAACAGCTGCTGAATTTTCATCTGCAGTGCAATTCATACTGTGCTTGTGCAGTAAGGAAGAACTGTTGTGTTTCGTGTCCACCGTACTCCTTTTTTTCTTTTTCTATTTTTTTTTTTTCCAAAGAAGTTAAACTTCAGCCTCACACATCACTTCTATTTGAACTATGTTAATGAAGGGGCCAGGGCTTTGTTCATAAAATGGAAAGAAAATTAATTTCCACATAAAGAGGAGTCTGTCTGCAACTGTTTGAAGATTTGCTCTTGTCTGTGCTGTCTCCATTCCAGTGCTAGAGCCTTAGCAGTTTCCCATTTAGCCATCGGTGACGATGACCCCTCTGTCACGTGTTTTTCTTTCACTGAATTGCATTCTTAATTTGGATGACTCTGTAGCTCTACCATCACCTCTGTCTTACATCACTATGTTACCATTATGGTAGCATCCTAGAAAGCACTGCTTGAGGCTCCAGGGATGTCAGTCGCTGCCACTCATTCCCTGCTGCCCTGCTCCACTGTCTCATGGCTCCACACCTGCTTGTAGCACCCTGCCAGTTGTGACACATCCCCTGCTCCTATCATCCTCACTCAGCTGGAGAGCTGGCAGACATTTGGGACCCTATGCTCTAATGACACTAAGCTCAAGGAAAGAAATGCAAAAAAAAAAAGGAAGTTCAAGCAGTGTCCCTGTTATCTTGGGCTGATGTATACCACTGCACTGCTGGGTGGTGGGTTTTGTTTTGGCTTTTTTGCAAGGCAAGTCAGTGTTAGAAATGGTTCTTCTACCACTGCAGTGCCGTTAGTTTAGTAAAACAACTTCAGTTGTTCCTGTGACAGACCAGCTGTGAGGACAACTGTCTGAATAACTTAAGAGATCTCATTAAACTTATCATGATCTTTCCTTAAGGGGGGAGTAGAGGGCACGTGTGTGCAAAATCCTAGCTTTTCTCTCTCACTATAACATAAGCTGAACATGGATAATTCTGATCACTCAAATGACAACTCTGCTCAGTCTAGAGCCAGGTAGTTAAGGTTCCTTTTTTTTCCTAGTCATTCTTTTGACAAACAATCTTTGTAAATAATAACAATGAAAAAACTTAAAAAAAAAACAAAACCACAAACAAAAACCCAAATGGTACCCTGCATTTAACAAATTGGCAAACTGCTGCTTTATGTAACTAAATGTAGATGCACACGTGAACACAGTCTAATAAACAATTTAAATGTTTATTTGAAAAATGTTAACAGTACAAATCAGCATGGGCAGACTGGGCCTACTTAGCAACAGTAAGCCAGTACTTTTGTAGAATTTTCTTTTGAGACTTCACATAGTACTGCTGGCACAGATACAAAATGCACACTGTTTACAAGTGCTAACAATTTTTATGAGTGGACCGGGCCATAAAAGTGTAAAGTGCTTGAAATATAAATCTGCCTTTTTAATTTTTGTTTTGCATATAAAAAAATGTCAAATTACTTGAGTCATGCAAGCGTTTGATAGTGATATTTTCCTTGCAAGGCACACTCAACCCTAAGAGACCTGAAACCAGGCTGGGCAGCTCTGTTTAGGCTTGCAGGCACAGCTGATGTTTGCAATACTCCTTTGTCCTTTTCTGAAGAATGCTATCTGGAGACTTCAAGACACCCTGAATTTCATCATCTCACTATTCAGGATAGCTGACCTGGTCTATCTATGGGCATGAAGGCAGCCAGCATCCTGTCCGAGATGTGGAAAAGTGACTTCACAGAAGTTAAAACCAATGGTAGCCCTCAGGGTGGAATGCTGTTTTATTTTGAAGCTTCTGAAAAGGCTGCATGTTTACGGAGAGGCACAGGGAAGTCAGCTTTGGGCCTCAGCCTGAGTGTCCCTTTACCAATTCATCAACTGACTTAGTTTTCTTAGTAGGAAACAAACAAGGTATTAAGATCAAGTGCCAAATTTCAGGTCAACTAACACTTTGTTTTTAAAAAAGAGTAACTCCAAAATAAACACAGTATTAAGTACATGCTTTCTCATCTAAATTATTTTTCCTGTCTGGAAGATCTGAAGGCAAGCTGATGGTAATCACAGGTACAAAGCTGACTTGATCCAGGAGAAGGATGCCCCTGAAAGGTAAGATTACCTGGCATTAGAAAACAACATACAAAACAATTCCGTGTTCTAAAAATTAGTTTTAGTCTTAAACTCACCAAACTTAGTTTATATCAACATACCAAGTGAGTATTACCCTCAAAATACCTCTTTCATGAAGCTAGAATGAAAAACTTGATGGAAAACTGTTTCCAAAATATACTAACTGTGGTTTCAGATGGGTCCCTTCACCCAGTTCCTACACCTGAAATATCGGCAGTGTAACCTCTATACGCTTAACTTCATAGCAGCCTAAAACGGTGTGCTGTCAGGAGTTAATTTGTCAGTCTCTTGCACCTAACTGTCTAAGACTAGCCTAAGCCTCTACTTTTGTAAGTGTACTGTGGAATGGCATTAAAGACTTGGGACAAGGTCCTGACTCACATCTGCCACTGTGTCATTCACCGAATGAGACCTTCTATTCATTCTTACTGGTTTACAATTGAATTAAACAAATTAAACTTTTACCACTTTTTACAGGACCACTTTACACAGGTGGCAAGAAAATTACTGTGTGGTTTTGGGGGATGGTTTTGTTTTGTGGGTTTTTGTGTTGTTTTTTGGTTTGTTTTTTTTTTTTTAAAGGAGGAGAGGGAAGGACCATCCTTCCAGTGTTACAGTTTCTTGCAATGTTCTGACAAGCTCTGCACAAGCCCCATGTTCTTGAACTGGAAGAGAAGTTACTGCAGGCTGGTTCCTCTGCTCTGTACTAAGCTCTGCCATGGAGAAGCCATCAGACACTTTCCTGAACAGTTTATCGGGTTTAGAATTTTTTTTCCTAGTTCTACATAGTTCAAAAAGTTTCACACACGGCAGCATTAAGCTACTTAGCTGCTGTGGGGGGTACAAACTCTTTCCTTGCTTTTTCTGCTCTAAAAGAGTTAGTTATAAGAAGTACTCCAATCTGACTTTGGGAAATGCCACAGGGAAGCGTGGTCTCTTTTGTCACTGCAGTTCCCAACCTTCCTGATTCTCCAACTCTCCATTTTTCTAGCTCTGGTGGATACATAAATTAACTGCATTCAGGGCCATTCAGAAGCACAGATGGTCATTTGCAGCTGAAGACATCATCTGTGTTTGTAGGTGATGAAGCATGCTACACTGTCAGTCACTTATCTGGAAAGAACGTACAGTTCCAAGGGCTAGGTATTCTAGAACTGCCTTGGGCTGATTTAATATGTACATGCTTGCCCGTTCCAGCATTAAATCTATCCTGATTTCTTAGCCTGCTTCTCTGAAAAATATTAATGCTACTGGTAACACACCAACTGAAAGAATAAAGCCATATACAGTCAATCAACTTTACTTATCACCTTTTGCCACCAATGCTAGCACCAATCGCTACGGCTTCTAAGCTGCCTATATAGGTAGCTCCTCCTTGGAGAATTCCCGTACCAATTTGCAAAGCCAAATTTGAGGCCTTTCATAACTACCATAACAACTTCAACACAGTAGGACTATTAAAAGGTTTAGAGCTGTTGGAATTGTTTAGCTCTAGCTTCTGCCCTCCTCTCTTGGAGCTATGTTAAAGGTGTCTCACAAAGCAGTCCTCAAAAGATTTAATAAAAATTTGGCAGTATGGCAGCCAAGGTAAAGACATTTCCAAGGAAAGATTGGCCCATGTTCCTCTGAAATGCGTATGTATCGAAACATCACTTGGAATGGAAAGTTACTGGCAGCCTTTGCACTGAATTGTTGCCATCATCTTCCTACAGAACGGGGCTGCTGCTTGAAAGATTTTTTTTTAGATAATATTTTGCCTTCATCAGAGGAAAAAAAAATAGCAAAATTTACTTACTTGTTTTCACAGGAAGGGAAAATCACCTTTAAGACTTTGAGAATAAGAGCTGCTCCAGCAACTCCAACTACAATGACCTCCATCAAACTAAAGAAGATCGGTAAAGATCGAAACCAGAACCTGCACAACCCTTTTCTCACGTCTTCCACCCACTGGCACATCACCTACAACCAAACAGGGAAAAATAAAAAGACAGGTTGCAAAACATAGCAAGTGCAGTTTTTGTGGCTAGTGATGAATCACATTACATGGTGGCAGTTTTAAATTTATGTATGCTTAAACATACATAAAAGCAGGATGGAATTGATTGGTGACTCAGACCTCTTTCTTTTGCTAAGAAGTCCGGAAGAAGGTGAAGGTTTAGTTCTCTGCTCATCCTAGCAGAGTTCCCTTAAAGGAAAGGCCGCTTTGGAAAATAAAGGACACTTGAAGAGAGCAGGTGCAGGGAGAGCCGTGTGGCCTCGGCACAGAGAAGCTATGATACCATGGCAGTGTACAGCAGGGAAAAGGTTATTGACAGCCCAGGAGAAGGGTAGCACCTTCTCTAGCCGATCTGTAACTTTCAGCCTACTATTTTGGCCCTCCTGCCTCAGCAGTGGGTTATAAACTGGTCCTTTAGGCCACAGAGGAGGCCATCAAGCCCATCCCTGCCTAATCTGGAACTGAAACTTCTTGAGCTGTTTACTGTGTTTTTTAGGGCAGGTGAGACCAATGGCCCATCTCCCAGAGGGGTAAGCACTTGCCTCTGAGCAGAGTCAGAAAAAAAAAAAAAAAGATTATTTAAAGCTAACAAAAATTTCAACTTTTTGTAAATGCTCAGCTTGGTATAATGTAAATACCGTAACTCACTGTCACAAAGTACCTGTGAGGTCAGACCAGTGAAGGATTTAGAAACCCAACTGATTCCTACTGGAGTTAAAAAGAAACAACAACAATTTCTCACTGCTAAGGGGTAATTCAGGAAGTTGGGTTTTTTTTTTAAATTTCCTAGAGTATATCTGTAAAAGTCTGTTCTTAGTGGTTGGCCGTGGGGATTTCTTACGCTTCTGTGGAAGTCAGTTACTGTCAGATACCTCACACAATATAAAATTCTGGTCTTTAACAAATATAAAGCAGCAAACCAGCACTCTGAAGCCAAAACTAGATTAAGTAAGAATGGCAATTCTCTCTTCCAGAAATGAGTTATTACATATTATGTTGCTTTTTTTCAAATTAACCATAAAGGACGAAAGACAAAGGTCCAGGAATGTTATATACCTTCTTACCATCTTTCAATGGATGTTGTGTTTGGTCTTTACATGAGGAAAACCCACTGTCTAAATCCTACCAATGCTGGGTTTGTTTGGTTTGTTCTGTAAACATCCTCAAAGGAGGAAAACATAATATTTGTATGTGTTTCTGTAAACAATACTAAAAACAGGGAAGCAAGTCTATTCTCTTAAACTGTAATACTGAAAAACCTTCAGCTCTATCTGCAGCATGTTAATGAAACTTTTCCTCCTACTAATGTCACCAAACTGTACGCATTTACTCTCTGGGGAAATAGGGAAAAATACAGAGGGAGGGAAAAAAAACTGCCTCTCCTGTTTAGACCAGTCTCTAAAGGTATATAGTAATAATTTAAAAAAAAAAAAAAAAAACAACCAAAACCAACCAACCAACCAAACTACCTTGTAAGAAGATGGAGGTTCTATCCTAAGAGGGGTCTCTGGTAACTTTCCAGGTAATGTCTCTTCATCTACTGTAGTTTCTACTTGCCGGATGAGGTACTGACTGGTAGTTTGCAGTGGATCTTGAATATCTGAAGAAGAAAAGCTAGATTTAGTGGGGGGCTTGCTTTTTATTTAACTCACTATTCAGGAAAACAAAGATATGCTGCATTTCCATACTTATGGTACAGTTCTCACGCATTTACAGCAAGAACACAGAAGACTGACTTTCTTTTTTTTCCACTTGCGTAGTGAACTTGATAAGAAGCAGAGGCAGTATTGCAGTGCAGCCCTTAGCTGTGCCCTTATCTGTAAATTGCAGCTCTTGCCAGATTAAAAGGTGATGAACTAGGTCAAAATACTCATCGCCTGTGAAATCCTTGAGAGTTTTTGATTAAACAAAACTGAAATAAGATTAAGGCGTCAAACAACATCTCTTGCTTTTAAGTTATTCAAGTTTAATAACATAAAACTATTCTCTGGTTTGGAAGTGACCCAGACAGGTATTTCCTCTCCAGTTTTCTCTTTCAGTCTCAGGAAAAAGGGGGAGCTTTAGAGAACTTTCCGTCATAGCACTGAGAGAGAAATTTATTCCTGGGAGATGTCCTGGTTGCAGATTTACAAGTACCAAGTACTTCAAAGGAGAACAGATTTGAAAACAAATAAACAAAATACCTAGAATGTACAAGAGTTGAACTTAGGTGTTTAAAAAAAAACCCCAAACCAAACCAGATAAAGCAAAACACTTTCCTGTTAATGAAGAAACTGTTTCACTATGTAAAACACAGGAATAACGATGTTCTTTCACCCTTGTAAAGCAATACATCAACTATGGATAAAAATATGTGACAGCTAAGAGATACCTTTTCCTGAGAGGTTGGGAAGTGTAAATAACATGTCGTTGTCCCTTGGGATGGAATACAGCATGCTCTCTTTCAAAGGGACAGTGTAGTTTGAATGTCTAAGTATTCTCAGGTCCTTTACTAAAATATCTACTTCTGTCACTTCGCCATTAAGATTTAGACATAAGGATGTTATAACATGAATTAGTATTCTTTGTTTTTTTACTTACCACACTTCTATACACTATACCACATCAGAAAATAAGCTGAACAGACTGAGTCCCTCTCTCCCTGCACAAGCATGTGGTAGTCACTCCATGGGCCTTTAACCAAGCCTTACACAGCTCATTACAATCCTCCTTCAAGGAGGCATTTTAGGGCATGGGAAACTCAAGTACATAGCAAAAAAGCAGTTGAAAACATTGAAAGTGTGGCAGAGGCAAGACCGACACCTCTGCTTTTGCAGTAACGTTGCTTTTTTCAACAACTGAAAGAATTGTTTTCTTCTTCCTCTTCCAGTGATGCACTGGACCCATTTCATTTCATGATCACTGCAGGCATCATCTATATAGAACACATTCAGCATAACTCCTACTAACATCACTAGCTGCATTGGGAGGCCAAGAACTGACTGAAATACAGAGTGTTTGTGACTATAACTGCTACATAGAAATAGAACTACAAATGAGGAACGCAGCATGTGATCCAGTTCCAGTCATGCTTTCAGAGCCATAGGCCAACCAACAGTCTCCTTTTGCTTCAAACATGCACAGAACAATGCAATGAAACAGATGATCGTTACTGTCAACTGATAACTAATGAGAAAGATTGAAAGCCTTTGACTTCAAGGAGCAATTAAGGAAACAGCTTTCTGGTTGTTCTTACCAGACCCCTATGAAAATCTGAAGTGAATCGTGATGTCTAGTTTGAGATCTGAAATACAATACTATTGGGTAACAACCAAATCAAACCAGGATATATTAGCCTACTAACAGTGGGATAAATGCCTCATTAGAAAAGCTTTAAACCTTTCAGTGGGATTTTTCATTAACAGAGTAAAATCTTGCCACAATGCAGATCCCTGTAAAAAATACTACATGCTGAGCATGCAATTAATTAAGGATTAATGGTATTATCATCATTCTCCTTTAAAAAAATACAGACATCAGTACATAAGGCAGCTTAAAAAGAGCCTGGCTACGTGTAAGATGCAGACGTACTCAAACAAAAAAATTCAACATTTTTGCAGACTTCAGCAGCTGTATCTTCTCTCCAGAACCTCTCTTGGTTGGAGAAATAACTATACCTTACAGGTGATTTTGAGAACTCAGTTCTGCACATTTCAGTCTCAGCTAGAATTGTATAACCCCTCACATTCACTGCTATGTGTGCAAATACAGTCAGAATTAGGCTTTTTTTTTTTCCTGTTCATCTCAAAATCCATGTTCATTATCAAGGTTTTTATTCAATGAATTGTTTATCTTACATGCAGAATGTTCTGAGGCTAAGCTCTCAGGTGTTGTGGGCTTTTGCAACAAGCCCACCTGCCATAATAGTTTGCTGCTGTAAGCTGTTCCCCATGCTACATGCTTGAAACATTTTGTTAGCTTGGAATAAACAATGGGGAAAACCTCAGGACGAGCCCATGCCCCTTTTATTAATTTTGTAAATGAAGTATTGCTTGCGAGTCTGCTTGCATAAGTGCATGTGTTGAAAAGAGCATGTTACAGAGTTAATGATATCCAACACTAATTATTAAAATAAGAATAGAAGCATTAAAACTTGAAGTCTCCTCATAAAACACCCTCCCTACTATACAGGCGACTTAGGTTGGTACTATCTCCCTCAGTACTGTGCTAGCTAGAATTAGATTATATACTTTGTGCTCTAACCACCAGCAAGGTACTTGTAAACCTTTTAATCCTTGCTAACTACTTGCCTCTCCTAAATTAAAAAGAAGCAGAGTGTTGGGGGGGGTTTTTTGTGGTTTTTTTTTTTTTTTTTTACCTGTTTTCCATCAATTTCTGTCACTTCTTCCTGAATGACAATCAGCCGCAAATCAGAACTGGATGCCAAAGGCCACTCATGAACCATGATACGAACACTGACGGTTCCCAGGCGCTGCTGATCCGGTAAGTTGTCCAAGTTTCCGTTCTCCACTGTTAACACACAACGTCACAGTTTTCAAAGACAAACCACCCCAACCAGAAAGCAGTATACAACCATGGGGCAAACAGTTGCATCCTTGACATAGATGCCCTTGCGCATGTAGCATCTGAATGGAAAGTCATTACAACTACAGAGGACCACTAGCATCAAACCAGAGACGCTTGAACAATTGTACAAAAGTCTGCAAGATGCTGATGTCCTTAACACTTCCATAAACTGCTTTTATAAACAGTAGTAATCTGGGCAACAGGTAAAACAGATGCCATGATTTTTTACCAGTACCAGTATATCACCAACTCAGAGCAGGTCTCATGATATAACACAGCAGACAACAGTGCTGTATGATCCCCAGACTGAGGGAGCTTGCAAACAACATTGCATCCCTGCCTTTGTGGTTTGCATTTAAGCACTCTAAGCAGCATTCTTTGGCTTCACTATTGCTGTATTCTTATTTTAGTTGTCCAAAGGAGTTCAAAAGAGTAATGCCACAGCCCAGCCAGCCACCTGTGTAAACATCTGGATTCACACAACATTCCCCTTCCCCTCAATACAGAAACAAATAAGCTCTTTCCCAGGCAGCGGCATACGCTACGCAACATGAGTGTCAGTTCCCTCATACATGTTTTCTCTGTCCTCCCTGCCCTGTTTTCACATGTGACCGTAACACCTCAATCTTTCTTCCTACCCAAAAGCTTTCAGCTATTTCAACAACTTAATATTCCACAAGTACAGAGAGAACTGCCTTTCTACCCTTGGTGTTTTTGCATAGAGTCAATATCATTTTCCCAGCTACCATGCTTCTAGGACAGGTGAGGGCACGCTAGAACTGAAGTGCTGCAGAAGTGCAAGAGTGGAGGTGACAGATCTCTGCAGCATGCAAGATAGCACAGTACATGAACTGGGACTGAACTGGCCCCTGTTTCTAAGCCACCAGCGCTGTGTCACTTGCAGTGCTGAGCCTGAGAGGCATCTTTCCCCTCTGTTAACAGGTAACAAGCATCTCGATATTCCTTCAGCATTTTCAAACATCTATTGTTAATGATGCAGTAAGTAAATAGTATAAACATGACTTTACAGATAACAGAGAGAGGCACTGTGCTGAGGACTCAGATCCAAACACAGAGATAAGAGTTCCAGGTTCCTTAGCTCCCAGGTCAAATCAGTATTTTTCTCACTGTTTCAGATTCACGTTCGTAATTGTAGTCACTGCAAGCTATATAACTATGACTTGGAAAATTAATAGGAACTACAGTGGAGTGCTTGGTATCTCTCAGAAATAGTCAATAAAATCACATCTGTTTTTCTGGAGTCAATGATCTTCCAGGTAAATGATATTTTGCCATGTTTTTCTACCTGAGAACAGAAAAAAATAAAAGCAATAGGAACATAACTATCCCAGAAAGACAGAAATTAATTACTGCTCTCCTCTCCAGAAAACAAATATCATCAAATTAATAATTGATCATGCTTGGGAAGGAAAGGTTCAAGAAACAAGGTCATGGCTCAGAGAAGCAATTTAGAAAAAGCATTAGTACTTTCAAAGTAAATGTCTGATTGTAAGAAGAGGATGACTTCAGAAACCAAGCTGGAGACAGACTGCACCTGATCCATCAAGACATCATTCTGAATACACAAAAGCTTAAATCAAATGAGCATAATGGCTCTTGTTTAATTAATTATACAGTATGCTCTTTGTATCTCAAAAAATCAGTACTTTCTGTTCTTTTACAAAAGGTGTAGCATTGAATCAGTGGGAAAAATAGCGGTTTCAAGACAATTTGAAGTCATTAACCACTGCAGGACACTAGCAAAACTGCAGTATTTGTGCTGTAATATCCTATCCAGCAGAAACTTCTTTGTCCAATGGACACAAAAATGAGATAATTAAAAGATCTTCCTAACAATAATTCATATTTTTGTTATTGAATCTCTTTTTGGACAGATGCCAACCAACCTAGGGACACAGCCATTAGCAGGGTGGAGTTGCATCCTTCTGTTTACATTGTCTAGCTTGTAGTGCAAAACATTCTTTTGAGAAGACAGGCAGAGTTGGGATTTCAGATTAGCCCATTCACATATAAGCATGTGAATGTGACTTGAGAACAAGGCAGTAAGATTTGGTTTTCCACCCATTTTAGTAGCAAAATTATCCTACCTTGGGAAATTATTTGCTTCTACAATGCTCAGGTTTGCAGAATACAAGAACATGTGGTCATTGTAAACTTTGGTTACTAAATAACAGGGAAGCCAAATACCCCACGGGGAAAAAGAGAAGGAAGAAGAGAGAATACTCACATATTACTGTTCGACATGTTATGTGGGCAACCCCGCTTTTCATAGGAAAATCATTCAGATATACCTGTCCGTTAACATAGGTGATATTAAAAACAACCTGAAAGACAGAGAGACAGAATGAGTGCATGCGTGGTTCCTGGTCCTATGCTACAATTCTGCTCTCAGAGGAACACACTTCATACTGCCTGACGTCAGACAAAACAGTATATTTGCATCCACATGCAGACTTTGTTTCACTGCATATTAATTCACTGAATAAATAGAAAAACTAGACAAACCTGTCCTTTGTGAAATTCTCCACTGGTTTTCAACATCATAACATTGACTCTGATCGTTTCCTGGAAAACAACAGTGAGAAGAGATATAAGGTTCTGAGGAAACACATAAGCCACTGCAGGCCACAGGCAGCTTTCACACACTGTCCTGACAGAATGACAACCTACAATCCCCAGAGCACATTCCCAGGCTTTCTATCCAGCACACAGAAGAAAGAGGAACATGCTTCCTTGTTTAATGTAAGAGTTGGGGTTTTCCCCCCTCTCTTTAATAAAGAGGATTGATGAAAAAAGAATGACAGCTGCATCCCCTTATGTATGAAGGTGGTTCTTTTTTAAATATAATAAAATAATAATAATCAAGCTAAATTCTCAGGAGAACTTGTTTCACATGGATATAATGGAAAAGAAGTCTCTCTTATTAGCTGAAAAATAATAGACAATACAAATTAAAAATCAGATCCTCTGTAAAAGTTTTTTTAAGAGCTCCACTTAGTCTTCACAGTGAAGTACCATTTAATAGATGTTAGCCTATACTAAAGAACACTCGGTTTTGTCAGTGTCAGCAGTAACCGTATTTCTTTGGTTATCATTCCCAAATTATGCCACATGGGATACCTCCAAACTCACAGCTAATGGGGATTTGCTTCCTTCTTTCAAAATGCTAACTGCTGTAATTTATTGACTCACTCACTCTGTTGTCTCTTTTCCCCCTTGTAATTTTAGGAGCTCTTTTGCAGATGGGACCTTAAACCTCCCAGGCCGTTGCCTGACAAAACCTACATAAAAAAGCCGAACCTCTCTTGGACATAGCTAAACATAATGATTGCCACACTGCTTTCCTGAGTCACCTCTTCAAAAATAAAGTTAAGCTCCCTATTTGCATTTTGGGAGCCTTACACGATTCTAATCCATTCCATTTTCCCCTGGAAAACTTCTCCGTACCTTCAGCATCTTCTTTAGCTCTTGTGTTTGAGTCACTGTTTCACAACAGCTAAAAAGTGAGTTATGTTTCAATAAAAAGTTGAACTTGCTCAGAATTTAAAATAAACAAATAAAAATGTAAATACATAAAAAGGATTTTCGTTTGGGATTTTTATAAGACACTCAATTTTCGGCCAGAAAATACTTGAAATATACATTACCTAGCATAATATAGTCCCAATTCAAGAACAGAGAGCTTCTAAAGTGTGACTATAATATAAAAATAATCCTTAAAACAACAGGTGGTAATCAGTACATGCAGATAGCCAGGACTGCCAAAAACTGAAAAACAACATCCAGATCTGATTCAGCAGAAATCTGGCATCATGAGAGGCATAATGTAAAACCTAATACAGATAACCTTTTGGTTGGAAATGACTTGTCATTGATGCTTCAGATGCACTTGTCAAATTGGTAGGAAAACTCTCTGGCCACTGAGACCAAAGAGAAATCTCTTTCTTGATGGTCCTTCTAGGAAACAGGTGTTTATACTGACTTTTCTTTAAGTCTTCAATCCTAGCTGTTCAAAGTAAATGAAAATCACCAATACAGTTAGAGAATTAGAAGCCTATAACTGAAAATATAAACCAAATTAATAATATATCATAGGATATAATCTATTCTGTCATCCTGTAATTTCCTCAAAATTTCTTTTTTCTCTGCCAAACTTTTCGTTCTTTTAACTCTAGCATTCAGAACTGTACGTCTTTTACACCCTCAAACTGTTTAACAGATTACCAAAACCTTCTGTCATTACTTCCAAGGTTTTTCTGTTTTCTGGGAATTCAAAGGGCACAAGAGATGGATTTTCCAGGCAGTCTTAATAGTCCTTCGGTTTTTAAGCCTCAAATGAAATTTGAGTTCTTTTACACAGAAAGTATTTTGCAATCTTTTTTCAACATCTACAAAGTGACTCACTGAGATTACAGGAAAAAGGAAATAACTGATAGCCTGTGACTGCTGAAAGACAGGAAAATCCCCTCTACTTTTTTTTTTTAAATCAAATGCTTTATTTGAAAATGAAGGGCATGGGGCAAGATAAGTATGCTCAACAATTGAGCATTAAATCTACGAAGTGAGCTATATACACAATGATTCGTTTTCTTCAAAACAGCCGTCAATTCTGTTGACGTAGTATCCACAAGCAATGTCATGAATTGCGGTACACACTTAAAACTTGCACATGAAGAGCATATTACGTGTTTGAGAAATTAAAATATTTCAGTGGCTCACTTCCATTCTGTCAAAGTTACAAAAAAACCAGATCCTAGCTTGCAGACAAGTAAGACGGCTTAACTGCTTGCTGCCTCTGCCACTAAGAGAGTGTAGATCTCTCTCACACATCACACTTAGCTCTCATTTATACCAAGTCAGTGAGCCAATGTATCTCATTAAATTGGCAGGAAAACTTTCCCTTTTTTGCCAGGCTATTTTTCTGCCAGTTGAACAAGCAAGGAAGAGCCAGACAAGCACAAGAGATGCAAGAACACAGCTGGGAGGAGGGAGCCAGGCTACGTGTTCTGATGGCCACAGGCTGTTGGATTAGCTCTGCTTGCACCATCCGCCTGTCCTCGCAGTGTCTCCTTAGGAGATGCCCCTCCTCACTATCATCTCAGGAGACAGTGATGCATCTCCCGAGTGGCACAGGTTCATAAAGCCACTCAATAACTTAGAGCAATGATTAATACTCCACTACAGCAGCTACACCATGACCTTTGCAATTTTGTGTTCACAAGCAACGGCGAACTCATATTCTTGCCATTCCTGTGACCAGTCTGTTCGCATCTGCATCCAACAAATTCTGCTAATAACTTCCCATGTTCTGTACATCCATTCTCCTGAGTTGTCATATGTTCTTGTTTTGCCTCTGTGCTAAGCAGTCTCACAAGACTTGATGACAGTCTTGCTAAGAAACATTTCAACCATATCTCAAAGTTTTGGTGCTAAAAAATACTCAGTTTTCAATTGTTCTTGCTCCAAATGTTCCTGAGCTGATAAAGAAACACCTTGAAGACCAACTTGTCCAGAGTCAGAATCAACTATATCAATGTTATTCCAAACAGCTCTTAAAGCTCTCCAGTGATGTTCAAAAATTTCCCACTCTCCTCAACTATTTACTCTAGTACTCACCTACCTTTAACATTAAAAGTTTTCCTAACGTCTAACCTGAGGCTTCCTTGCTGCAATTTAGGAACAGGTTGTTTATTACTATTTATTACTATTCATAATGTCTTCCCATGGAACATAACAGTCCTCTAACTCAGTCTTCCTGATTTTATGCCAATGTTCCCAGCTCCCATAGTCCTTCCTTGGAGGCGAGTTCCTCACTGCTGTCTTCCCATGGCTACTCACGGGTCTTTCCTGCAGTGCCGCACCCAAAACTCAACGGCTCCTGTTGTGGCCAACCATCCTGACCCTACACAGCCCATACCAAAATCTGCACGAGGACAAAAAACACAAGATGCGTGTCAAACACAATGAAAAGCCAGGCAGGAGGGGTGGGGGAAAGAGGAAGGGACTACTGCAGGCAGCTCACAGGAGAGCAGACCACCATCCCAGCTGACCCACTTTCATCCACAGCAGGGAATGGGTGATGCACAGCATCGCCCCTATTAACACAACCCTGGCTGGTACCCTCTTTGATATCTGCTCATGAATAAGTGCTTGAGAGCCATAGGTTGTTAATGCTTGCTAAACTGGGAGGAAAACAGACTGGGCAAGACAACAACTCTTGTACCATGCTTTCATGATGAAACCCCTGGCCTGACAAGCCATACTTGCTAGAAAGTCCTCCGGTGATAACTCAAATACCCATCTTTCCAGTCCTACAGGTGAAGACTCACAGACTTCTGAAACATCCTTTAATTTCAACAGAGAAAATACTTTGTTATGTTACCATAATAAAACCCACCACTTAGGGGAAAGGGAAAAAAAAAAAAAAAAAAAAGAAATGTTTTATAGATAAGTCTTACAGCTATACACTTCAGTACTAAGAAAAGCAAATAACCTCACAGCACTTATTTTGCGTATCAAAAGCATAGTAAACCAATCCTGTAGTAACAAAGTCACTGAGAGCAGGACACGGGTAATCCATAATACTGCACTGTCAAGTTCTGTGAGTATAAAACTTGTTTGTATAACTTACAATACGCTTTTCAGCATTAACAATATCATGAAAGTGCACATGAATTTCAGGTAGTCCTGTAATTTAAAAGGTCTTGAATTAACTGGAATATTTGAGAAACCTGCACTTTGTCAGAGTCAGAACCAAAGGACATCCCCAAGAAGCAATTCATGTCCCTAGGAATCAGGTTGTGCTTTCAGCTTACCATTGACACCCGTTCCATCACTCACAGCACCTTATCCTTTCCTGTGCTAGTGAATGCCTTCGCATAAAACCTCCAATTTACACTAAAAACGGCCCCATCATTCTTAATGCTGTTATAGGATGTAGATGTTTCCCCTGAGTTTTCCTATGATTTCTCATCACTGTTTTAGTGCTCCAGCAGTGACACTGACAGTGGTAATGGCCACAGTACCTGTGGAGAGGACAGCACTTCTACCACAGATGTATGTCATTCTGTTCCAGGACAGCTAGGCAACAGCTGTAAGTGTGGTGACACACATCACAGTGAACTAGTGATTTTCTGTGAACTTGAATCAATAGACATAACCAGGTAGTGGTAATTTTCAAATCCTTTCTCTTTCATCATGTGCTGCAAGAGAACCCAGGAGTGTTAACTGGAGCAGTGTAATCGCAGTAGCAGCAGAAGAGCAAGATGGGGAAAAGATGGCCACCAAGAATATAAAGCATCTAGCATAATTTAAAAGGGAATATTAATTAATTATTAAAGACTCCCCATACCAAAGCCACACAAAGCTACAGAGAACATTTCACCCAATCTTAACCTTTTATGAAAAATGCCACACAAGACAAAGCTATTGCGCCTAATCATGCAGGAACTCCAAACAGATTTGATTACAGAATCACAGGAAAACTTCTTCCAGGGGCAGCGGGTACCTGACGGGGTACACCGTTCAGTTTCTCCCAGTACATGGAAACTGTTAAGTCCTAC